TCCAGGACTCGGCCGCGGCAGGGTGCGGGTCGAGGCCATGGGTGACCGCGGCGGCACGGGCAGCTCCCGGCGCCGGAGAACGGGGTCGCGGCCCTCGAGCCAGAGCGGCGGTGGCCCAGCGGCGGCGGAGGAGAAGATGCGGGATGTGGACGCCGGAGGGGACGCTCCGGCCCCGGCCTGGGACAAGGACAAGGACGAAGACGACGACGTGGGTAGCGACCCGTGGGATCTGAGGTAGCGGTGCGATTCACCCATAACCTCTGAACCCCGCCCCGGGCTCCCGTGACCCTCCCCGGTCCCTCAGGCATGGCCGCAGCAGCTCGGGGTCCGAGTCCGAGAGGCTGGCTCCCGGACTTCGCGTGGACAGGTGTGCTCCTTGGGTCCACACAAGGAAACTGAGCCTTAGGGGTGGGGTGTCGCCTGCTGCAGTCTCCGAGGTGGGGTCACAGAGGGTAACCGGTCGCAGCCCAGCTTCCAGACCCTCCTCCATCTGCACACCCTTAGGTGGGTCCTGAGGCTCTTTCCCAGGGTGAGCCAGGAGCCTGGGGCCCTAGGAGGGCTGGTTCCAGCCATGCACAAGTTTTCTGTCTGGAAGGCTTTGGAATGGATCTAGGGCTTGTGATGAAGGGGGTCCCTCTTGAGGGCTATGAGGGGTGCCTTGGGGGTAGAGGGGGGTGGGTCAGCCTGGGAGGGGCCAGCAGGAGACTGGGACTGCCTGAGGACAGGAGCAGGGAGCAGTGAGGCTTTCCCCTCTGTGCAGATGAGAAATAGAGGTCCCTTCCTTTCCTGGCTCCTTCGTCCCTCACCCAGTGCTTGGCTGGCCTGGAGCCCTGCTTCTCTTACCAGAACAAGTGTCTGCTGTAGGGACAGAGCTGGGTCCTGGTCCGGGTACAGGAGAGGGGCTTGAAGTGGGCACACCCACCGGTGGGCACCCCGCTTAGCTGAAGGACTGACAGGAAGGGGCGGGGGGAGCAAGCTCAGGCTGATGGGGAGGACCTGGCCCGCCTGGACATTGGCCCCTTCCTCCAAGCTGTCCCCAAGCTATCTCTTTGCCACCCTGCATCCCTTCCCTCACTCTGGCCTTCACCCTGGGCCAGGGGCCCCGGGAACTTTGGCTTCGGGAGCAGCTTCAGGGCTAGAGATTATCAAGGAGGAAGTGGGCAATCGGTCAGTTGGCTGGCAGAGGTTTGCTCTCTCAGTAAACAAGAACAGGGGTTTCTTCACTGGGCACTATGGGGCCAGGGCAGGCCAGGGCAGCTGGGGTGCAGGCACTGTCCCTGTCCTCGGAGTGCTCACAGTCCACCTGGGAGATAAGAGCGTCTCAGCACTGAGCAGTGTGAGCAAAGGTCAGACCCGCAGTTCATGGAGGTGCCACCGGGGAGGAGGGCGGTTCCAATGAGAGGGATGCTTGCTTCCAGAGGGGCGCTGCTGAGGGAAGCTGCAAAAGAACAGGAGGGTTCCAGAGCCCCCTCTGCTGATCTCCAGAGTTGTCCTCTCCAGGAGGCAGGGGCATGGCCAGCATGATCTCTGTCTGGAGGGGGTGGGAATTGGGGGTCCTATTATGTGAGATGGGGTGTGCCAGCTTAGGCCAAGCTGCCACTGGAAGGGACAGTCACTTTCCTGCTCTGCACCGCCCGGGGTGCTCAGTGAGAGGGAGCCCTGTCTGCTCACAGTTGAGGTCTGGACCCCTGGGCAGAGGAGCAGTAGGTGGCAGGATGGGCCTGCCTGGGTTTGGAAGCGGGAGCTGGTGGTCAGAGTCCTTCCTGGTTGGCAGGACATGCAAGTTATGTGTGCTTGTCCTTCCAAGCTGGATACCACAAGGTTCGAGGTTCCCTGGGGCTTCGGCCGTGATCTGCGGGCCGTGGTCTGGGGCGGCGGAGCCTGCCTTGCTCAGGCTGTCCTCCTCGTTACCCCCCGCCCCCCCCTTGCTTGGTGCCTTCTCTCTCCTCGTCACCCTCCCTCCTCCTTGCTTGGTGCCTTCTCTCTCCTCATCACCCTCCCTCCTCCTTGCTTGGTGCCTTCTCTTTCCTGCTTCCTCCTTGCCCCACTTCCTGCACTTCCTGCTCACCTTGGCCGGGTGTGGCAGCCACACTCTGGGTGTTAGCTCATCTCCTCCAGCCTGGGCGTAGCTGTGGGGCCGGAAGGAGCAGTCACCCCTTTCTTCTTGGCCTTGTGGCTCACTCCTTCCCGGTGCTCCACACCCTCTCTGCACCCAGGACTCCTGGGGCACCCTCTGGCCCTGTTCATGGGCACTCCAGGCAGGGCCCTCCCAGGGCGTCTGTCCCTAGTGTGTCTTCTGTCTCCCCCTCTCCAGTAGGTCTGAGGATGTGGGGGGCACACTCAACCACCCGGCACCACAGGGCTCAGTCCAGAGGCTGGGTGGAGGCAGTGCCCGCTGGCACCCCACTCCCTCTTTGCTCTGCTTGGTCAGGAGCTGGGCTGTGTGGTCCCAGGGGTGGTCTGCACTTGGAGGCTATGCCTCTAGGCAAGCTTTGAGCCTCGGCGAGCCTCAGTTTCCCCGTGTGCCTGCCTCCTGTGTGATGTGAGGGTTGAGGTGACACACACGATAAGTTGGAATGGCCCCGCTGGCGGGGTCTGCCTGGGGAGGGGGTCTGGGACTGCTGCAGGGCACAGAGGCGTGGACAGCCCCTGCAGTAGGGGAGAGGGTGACAAAGACAACTCTGGCAGTGGTGGCCAGATCCCATGCAGGGTGCCTTCTGGTCCACTGCTGCTTTCTGCATTGGCAGGGCTGGACCTTTGTGGGAATTGGTGGATGATGGGTGCCCTCCCTGGGCCGGGGCCGCTGACCTGTGGGGGACCTAAGGGGTAGGTGTGGGAGGGTTGCGGAAGGTCTGAAAAGGCTTCTACAGTGTTATTTGGCGTCAGATTGGAAAACAACACCCTTTCTCCACCCTCATCTGCGTCTTAGAGATTGCCACAGATAAAGCTAGCACAGTCCTGCTGGCCCAAAGGGGCAGGGGTCACCTTGTTGTGAAACGGCCCTCAGGGGCGCTGAGCCCAGCATGGATGTGCAGATGCTGATTGGCAGGCTGGAGCACGAGTCGACTTTGGGATGGTTCTAGTGAAAACTACTGGTCTTGAACTTAGGGGAGGGGGCTAGGGACAAGCTCAGGGGCCATCCTCTCTGGGGAGTTGGGCCTTGGATCCCTGCCTGCCTTGCAGAAAGGCAGGTGCAGAGTCTCGGGGAGAAGAGGGCCTGGGGTGGGGCTCACAGCCTCACCGTGAGGCCAGGGCAGGCTGGAGGATGGGTGCAGGGAGGCCAGGCCTGTGACCGGGAGAGGCGGGTGACCAGGTGCGGAGCAGACCTGGGTCTGGGGGCGCACAGCTGGCCTGGTGGCACTGCCCTGACTGAAGAGTGCTGAGCAGCACCTCAGCCTCCTGGCCCCTCCCTTCCTGGGTGGGGCCGTCTGAGTGTTGACCCCAGCCAAAACCAGGCTTGCCACAGTGACTGGGCCGGCCCTGAGAGGGCACCTGTGCCATGCTGCCCACTTCCCCCACCTGGGCACCTCCTGAGGCAGGTGGAAAGGGAGGCCCTGGCCTCCAGAACCGGAGGCTTTGCTCAATGTCCTGTGAGGCTTCCTGCTGGCATGGCCGCGGGGGTGAGGCGGGGGCGCAGCTGGTGAGCGCCCTGCGGCCCTCCTCTACCGTGTGCCACCCCGAGGGTCAGACAGGGATGTGTGCGTGCCTCTGCCTGCTGCTGTGGGAGACCCTGCTGCCAGGCGCCCGACCTAGGCGGGTCCCCCCTCAGCACCTCAGCCCGGCAGGAGCGCAGCGCTTACTCACCGGTGCTTGAACTGGCATAGGCGACAGTTTCTCAGAGCAGTTGGAGGCCACACAGGTGCACATCAGGCCGCGTGCTCGGCTGGCCCTTGCTGTGGTGCCCGTGCCCACTCAGCCCTGCGTGCGCCGAGTGTGGGGAGGAGGTGGCTTGAGGCGGGTGGGAGACCATCAGCTCACTGGGTGGTGAGGTGGATTTGCCCCTGCCCTACCTCTGCCCAGCATCACTAGGTGGCCCAGGTCTCTGAGGTGGGCTCTTTCTGTGGGCCCATTACCACTGCACAGCCCAAGGCCTCTGGGGAGCGAGGCTGGGCTCCTGGGCCGAGCAGGGCCAGCTTGTTCCTGTCCATGGTCTGGCCCTGCCCGGGGCCTGGAGGGGCGGCCCCCAGGTGGTCGTGAGAGCTGGCCCCTGGCTGGCCCTCCCTCCCGCGAGTGGGCATAGGGTGTGTGGGAAGGGGTGAATACTGGGAGTCTGGGCCCAGCTGCCACGCTGGATTCAGCTGGGCTCTCAGGTGTCTGCCAGGGCCTGGACCTGTCCTGGACTGGGAGGTATGGGTGGCTTTTGACCCTACCAAGGTTCTCACTGTCCCCTGCCCTGACAGGTGCCACCGCATGCAAGATTCCTTGTTCAGCTCTGACAGTGGCTTCAGCAACTACCGTGGCATCCTGAACTGGTGTGTGGTGATGCTGGTGAGTCACACGGTGGTGAGGGAGGGCGGGGCTCAGGCTTTACTGGAGCACCAAGCTTGTGTGGCTAGGGTGCGTGGGGAGGGACTGGTGGCAGTCCCTGCAGGAGCCACGTACTGAGGCTCCCATGGGCCACATTCTAGACTCTGGTCCCTGTCAAATTCAGGAGAGGCTGCAGAGGATCGTGGGGGAGGCCTTTGTGCTGTGGGCTGTGGCTTTGCTGGGCAGGTGTGGGAAAGTAGGGAGGAGTGGACAGGATGGGCGCCTGGCCCTGGGCCGGCAGACTGGGTGACTGTGGACAGGGCACCCGGTGGGCCCAGTGCTTCCCTGGCAGCATGTGCGGTCTCGGGTCCAGGAAGAATTCTCTCTGCTCTTCTGAATGGTGTCCCTGGCTGCCTGGCCTGGGTGCCTGGCCTGGGGTGAACAGGGGTGGGAAGATGGCGCCTAGGCTGGGCCCAGCAGCCCAGGCCACGGTTCTGCGGGCCCCCAGCCCCTCTCCTTTAGCCTGAGTCCTAGCGCCCCCCAGAGGTATTAGATGGGATTCTTGCCTCCCCCTCACCCTGTGGCCTGGCTGAGGACCCTGGCTCTAGGGTCCAGTTCAGTCTGACACCTTGTGGGGGTGGGGCCCAGAAGCAGCCGTAATCCAGGACTCAAAAGAGCAGCATGCAGGGCAGGGCAGGGGACAAAGGCCTATTTGGGCCTGCTTCCCACCACCGAGGGCTGATGTGGCCCAAAGCTTTCAACCCTCACCCCGATTTGCCTGCCGGTCTCCGGCATGGCTCCCATGCTATGTGTGTAGAAGGGGCTCCAGGCACACCCATACCCTCCCTCTCTGTGGTCCCAGGAGGCGCCCTGGGGAGCTGTGGGGAGACTGGCTGAGCAAGGAGACGTCATCAGGAGAAGTCATTTCTGGCCCGCGCAGGGCAGGCCCTCAGTAGCCCGGCCAGCATTGTGTACTCTCTGTAGCCCCTTGGGCCTGCCTGTCCTTTGGCACTGCCCGAGATCCTTTCCCTTGCTTCTGGCGCCTTTGCCATTCCCCACCCTCGCCACAGACGGGCACCCTACGCTTGGCTCTGTCCTCTATGCTCCCTATGTGGCCTGTGCCTCAGGGTAAGCGCTGTGGATTAGCAGCGCTGGCTCCTGCCTGATGTGGGCTCGCAGGACAGGCCACCACTGGTGGGGTGACAGTGTGGGGCCCTGTGTGTTCTGGCAGGAGGCCGGCGAATCAGACTTGTGGCTGGGGAAGGAGCCCTTACATCTCTGAGCTTGTCGCCTCCTCATGAAGCCTTCCCTGACCACCCAGATAAAGGACCCCAGCAGTGTCCCTTTGCCAACATCAGGGTTCCACAGAAGCTACCATGAGCCCTGTGTAGGGCCTGTGCCTGGTGGTGTGGGGGAGGAGGTTGCTGTCCCTGCAGAGGGAGCAAGCCTTGCCCCAGGCTGGAGCCGTGAGCCGCTTTGATGGGGTTCTATCCTTGGAAGCTGCTTTGGGGCCAAGTGCCTGGGCTTGGAGTGTGGCAGCACCAGCTGAGGCCGCTGCGCTCCACGGCCGGTGCAGCCCTGGCCCTCGGCTGGCTGCCGTCAGGACTGGCTAGTGGGTAGGACGCTGCCCCGGGCGTGGGGAGGCTGCTTCCTCAGCAGCTGTGGCCTTGGGGCCCTCTGCAGCTCCACAGGGGCAGATGAGGGCTGCTGGGCAGCTGTCCCTTCTGCTGCTGCGGATGGTCGTGAGGAGGTGCCTGGCATTGGGGTTGGAGCCTCGTTGGTGTGACCAGGGAGAGTAGTGCATCTTTCCGCTTGGTTTGGGGTCACACCGGCTGGGCCCACAGGACTGAGGCTGCTGTCCAGGCCTAGGGATGCTGTCCCCACGGGTACTGGGAGGGGTTGGGGCGGGTGCACGGGCTAACGGGGTGTGTCTCCTCTCTTGCAGGTCTTGAGCAATGCCCGGTTGTTTTTAGAAAACCTCATCAAGTGAGTGTCGTCCCCAGGGCCTGGCCCCGCCCCTGAAGC